ATCGTGCTCAGCAACCAGGGAAATCTACCTTTTTAATTTCTCTATTTCTTTAACAACCGCGTCTATGTCATTCCGATAAGAATCAACCACACAACCATAACATAGCCAAAACCATATACCAACATTACTTTGGAGCGGGCTCAATTGAACTGGATGAGCAAGTGCACAGAGAATTGAATCTTTTGACGGAAGTGAATACCATCTCTAAACACATTTCAACGTATTTATGCGAAACGTTCATTTTGATGAGTGCTACTGGTAGTGAGGGAGAACGTGTCTAACATTTATGTGATTTTTGATTTTCTCTCAGGCCGTAATGTAAACCCACCAGTAACCGAAATTCTTTTGAATCAATTTTCTGCAAGAATAGTGAAGGTCGCCTAAAAGAAATCTTGAAGCGATTTGGCGAGTTTGAAGGCAACAAAATGCTTCTAGTTCAGGACCAAAGCGACATAACTACAATGCTTGGGGTACAAACAGTGGGGCAGAATCGTGTTTTGGGTATTAGGGGATACACTCCTCCTCGATTGGACCCACGGCACTACCAACCGTGGTTACAGTCAAGGGGCAAATTATTTTATGGTATGACTGGTTTGTGGCGATGTCAGAACTATTCAACTGGTCTAATTCGTTCAGGTATATTGCTCGAAGCTTGGTTCACAGGCCGTGGTATTCAAGTTTTTGATTTTGTTTCTTTTGTGGTTTCTTTGATGGTTCTCATATTCACTTTTTCAAGTCGAAGAATCCCACTTAGAACGCAGTAGAAACGCTCGTTATGGACAAGGATTTAACTGAGTAGAGTGTTCCCAACACTTGTTTTCCAAATTTGAAGGTACTGCTGCTCCAAATTCACACCATCAAACGGTGGAAAACGTTAGTTCGTGTTAAATAGCATAATCTGACTTCTTTTCAAAGAGAACCCCCCCCCCCCCTCCAAAAAAAAATAAATCATTACAGCTCATAAATAGGTGCGCGTTTGGTTGATTTTATTTGTAATAATCTTAAATCAAGAACAATTCTAACTGTGATAATATTAAGACAGTCAAACAGAACAGTGTTGCAAAGACGACAGTCTTGTTTTCGCGAGTACTGCATTAGTGAATGTCCAAATATCGAATGTTTTTACTTTATTCATGGCAAGCCGGCATCCTTATCGTAAAATGTTGTCTAATTCTTCGCCCAACAAGT